CTCCTATCCCTGCAAACATTGTAGCTCAAGTCATCACAAGGTATGCCTAAAGAGCAACATAAGAAAGTACAAAAGCGAGGAACACATGTTTCGCTGGACAATCATTTTTATGAGATTTGAATTTCTTATATGAGGAGACAGAACAGACGCCAAAAGCGCTCGGGATTGGGTAATCCTCTGCAGCCGGCGAAGACCAAGCCCCACTAACACCCACAATGTTATCCCTCCAACCCTTTTCAGATTTGATTGTATCCGTACATATGGACATCTTGTCGATCGGGTAGAGGTGGTAGAATGGCTCGTTAGTTCGGATCTTACTGACCTTATAGCAAAGAAGAAGATCTATGAGGTCAAGGTCCAGACTTCTGTCACGAATCAACAGTAACATAACGGATATGATTCTAAAGAAATTGGGGTTTACCTGCAGGGGGGATATCCCCAGTCTATTGAAAACATAATTAAAGAAGGGATGCAGAGGGAACCTAACGACATTCAGTTGAAGGTTTGTAAATAAAACCTCACCGGGAAGAAGGCCGGCACCGGTCATAATATTAACATCCTTAGGGCAAACCCTAACTTGGATGTTGTTAGGAAGTCTAAGTCTCATACGAAGAACATCTAGATCTACAACCATGGTGGAAGCGATTGAAGGATCTAAAAGGGTAAAAAGAAGTCTGCCGAAAGTAAAAAGGAACAAAACTAACCTCTGGGGTAGAAAGCAACAAAGAGCACTGCAAGATCGCTGGACGAATGACTCTTGAAGAATTTCACCGGAAAAAATTTAGCACTGCTCTAAAAAGATGAGCGAGAGATTTGACTAATGATGGAGACGGTAAAAAGGCATGAAGTGGCATTCTAGAGCCTTATAAAGGCGAGGTGGACCCAAGGGCCGAAGCGTCAGGAAGGCGAGAAATTCATCGAGCCCCGGAACATTGATTCCGGATCTGACCGTCCGTTCCCCCATATGGGTTTCTCGAGTCGTCAACATCATGATGAGACGCCTTCAATAATTACCCCCTTATTAAACAAGGGGTAATTATGGGGGCAGTTGAGGAGGCCCGAAGTGACATGGGCCGGATATGACCCGCAAACACGACATCCGGTCCGTGCAGATGGGTCAAGCCCATAGAGAGACACTGCCATATGGGCCGAACGCGAATAGCCCATCAAAGATGACCAAAACTCACAGAGGAACGGGCCTAGATCTAGCAATCCATTAATGTTTGTAAGTATCTATAAATAGGAGAAGTAATGGATAGAGGAGAGAGAGATATTTTTGGTTGAAATGTAATAGCCCTGACCCTCGGAGCTCGAGCCCAACCACAGGGTGCTCGAGCCTTTGCCTAAGAGCTCGAGCACATGATGCGTCAGAATTAAAAAGTTGATCCAAGCTCCCAAGAGCTCATGCCAAGCCTCAAGGGGTCAAGCACATGTCCAAGAAACTCGAGCCCACAGCCCCAGAGCTCGAGCCCAACACCTTGGGATCGAGCATTATGAAGGAGGGATCGAGCACCATCAATAAAAAGACATTTTGGAAAAATTTTGCTCCCAGAGCTCGAGCCCAACTCAGAAAGCTCGAGCACAACCACTCAGGGCTCGAGCATTGTTGAAAACTCTGGACCTGTTTCAGTATTTTGGGCATAACTTTTGACTCAAAACTCTAAATTGAGCAAACTCAGCGGCTCTGGAAAAAAGACTCAAAGCCCGATGTTTTTGTCCTTAATAGTCATCTCGAGATTAGCGCTCTAAATGTGTCAAAATCACATTACAATGTTAGAATAAGTTATTGACAGGTTAAGCTCGAGCTTTGGCATCCTGGAGGTTAGAAATACATGCGGGAATTGTGTAAAATCACCCTTCTTTATTTCCTTATGAGCCCAATTATTACCAAAAGCTAGAAAATTAATCCAAAGGGGATTAGGACTTGTTTTCCACTATAAAAGAAGGGATCCATGAATCTCTCTCTCACGGAAGCTTTTAGGGTTTTGAAGAAGAAGATCCCAAAGGAGTTTTGGTGGTCCATGGCGATAAAGACCACAACAACACAAATGATATATTGCGTCGTCATGAGTAGCAAATTCCTCTCTTAGGGCATTGATGTAAGCCGATTCAATTATTATGGTTTGATTGTTTATACTTTGGGAATTTAATGATTTATATACTTTGATTACATGATTTTGAGCAATGGAGCCAACTCAATTGGTGTTTTAATAAATTAATTGTTTTTGAATAGTTATTACCTTGTCTTAGATATAACTGCTCATAAATTATTCTCAACCCATTCTTATTGGAAGATATCTGGTGGAGCCCTGTCGGACATAAGAATGGAGATCATGTAATGGTGTTTAAACATTTTTTTTTTAATGAACTCTTTCATAATCTATACTTAGGGAAGATGAGTTATACTGCAACATTAGTTAGAATTAGGTAGGCGGATAATTCATGCCAACTTTTGATAGGTTATAGTTAGTTAAGTTCAATGAAATATCTTTCTTTAAAATTAAATGAATGTTATTGAGTTTAATTCATATGGTATATAAATTGTTGAAATCCAAAGGTTGAACAGTTAACCATAGTATGAGGATCATGGTGAAGTTAATCCATAAGTATTTCTTCTCTTGATCTCAATCCTTTTATTCTATTTATTTTATTTTATGTTATTGAATTGCATCACAACACACAAAATCAAATCCTCTTTCTAAATTAAAATAGTATTAATTAAAGATTTGATAAACCAACACAGTCTTTGAGATTCGACATCCTCAACATAGCTCTATCCTACAAGGATTTGTTCTATTGCGAGTGGTATTTTATTATTGATAAATGAAAACACAAATCAACAAGCTTCTCTGGTTGTCCTCCTCATCTCCGACAGCCTTCCCAGTCGTCGGCGTCCTTCTCCTTGAATCGGCCTTGCTCTTTGCTCGGCCTCCTTCTCGATTTCTCTCTCTCGGCAAACTCTCTCACTGCCTCATTCTTTCTCACATAATAACCCTCTTCAAGGGTTATACAATAGGTATATATATATACATATACCCAGCCTCCTAACCCTAATCTGATAACTCCCCATATATATACATAACATACATATATAAATATAACTATTTAAATCCTCCTTAAATAATAGTATTAAGATACGTAAATATATATGATGTATATATACTTACTATATTTATATATATATTCCAGTTAATATATATATATATATATATATATATATATATATATATATATAATCCTACAATAATGATAATTATAGGCATCTGTTTAAGTATTGAAAATCTCATTTTTACCATACCAAAACAACGTTCAATCACATTTCTAAGAGAGGAATGCCTATAGTTAAATAATTCCTCCCGACATTGGGCTACCTTCCAATAGCCATATACTCTTGCATGTGGTATTTTTTACCCTGATATGGTGTCAAATGACTAAATTGGTTTGCATATCCGAAATCCAGTAGATAATATTTCCTTGCAAATAGATACCTACTTTAGTAAGCTATCTTATCATTGACACAAATGAAGCTAAGTATCAATTATATTATTTATTATATACCTTCAGGTGTTTGTGGGAATTCTTTTTTCTTTTTCTTTTTTAATTTATTTTTTTATTTTTATCCTTCACACACACCATAAACACCTTGGAATCGTTTAATGTACCTTTCCAACCTGCCATGACAAAAGTAAACAACATGTGGAATGAACATGCAACCATTACATTCGCGATAGTGTTTGACTTCCTACCACGATATGCTATTTATTCATCCGAAAGAACAAAAGCAGACACATAAGTTCCATCAATAGCCCCAACGCAATCCTAAATCATAACAATATACATATGAGTACCAATATTATAAATTACTATAGATGATAAAACAATGATAATATGAGGCTAACTTTAAAGAAAGGATAAATTTTTGGATTCTGTAAGATCGCTTGTGGAATATTGTCGTTTGGTGGGGTAATAATCTGTATCCCCAAATCACATATTGCCTTCAACATTTTATGAAAATAAGTATACATTGTCCATCCAGAGTTCTGAAATCTCTCAGCCACAATGCACATCCTCTTATTCTAAGCTAAAATATAAAGAAACATTGCAAATTTGTTTGGTGGGGTAATAATCTGTATCCCCAAATCACATATTGCCTTCAACATTTTATGAAAATAAGTATACATTGTCCATCCAGAGTTCTGAAATCTCTCAGCCACAATGCACATCCTCTTATTCTAAGCTAAAATATAAAGAAACATTGCAAATTTGTCCAAGAATACATGGCCTTGCTTGGATTGCATTTCATAGAACAGTTCTCAAGAACAGTTTTCAGAGAATAGTTTTCAATTTTTTCAAATTTCAAACCTGTTTGGTTAAGAGAATTTACAAAACAGTTTTCAGAAAACAAAAACTCATAAAACTACTTGGTTGTATGGAGTTTTTGAAAATAGTTTTCTGAACTTAGAAAATAAATAAAAATATTCTTGTACCTCACTCTTTTATTTCTTTAATTTATGATATTAACTATTAATGTAAATATATATATTTAAATAAGTGTTGGAGGTGAATTTATTTTAGTTAGTATTCTTAACTTAATAAATGTTACAAAAATACAATTTATCAAGTTTAATTAAAATTTGACTAAATTAAAATACAATAAAAGAGTTACATGAATTACTTCAAGGGTCATATGCACTTTTAGTTATACAAACATTAATTTTAGTGATACACAACCAAAACCTAATATTAGAGAATTAAACAAATAGCTAATCAAAGCAAAGCATTGGAGAATTATAAAAGTAACTTCATCTAGTATTGCCTCTGAATGATCTAGCATTGCCTCAGTCTAAGCTCCTCGACCAAGCAAACTAATGGAAATACTCATCTTTATACTATATATTGCAGGGCTCTAAGGATATGCTACTGAAAAGAAGTTACCGACAAAGTAACGGTACAAAGCTAATATTGTAACACAAACCAACTAGTAAGGAAACAAAAGCTACTAAAATGAAAGATAAAGCTCATTCCTTATTATTAATTTTAATGAAGATGTTACAATGATTTTACAAGAAAAATTAAAGAGAAAATATTCGACGACTGTTGGTGACATTTTGATTTATCTGCCAAAGAAAATCCTCTTTAGAACATCAGCAAGCACATGCTTGATTTATAGCTTTCAAACCTGGATATTCAAGAAGTAAAAAGACCTGTATATAAACCAAACAAGAACTCTGGAGTAAAACTTTAATTTGATTTAGCAGTAGAAAATTATATGGAAAACACAGACAAGAGAGAAAGGGAGTTTGTAAAGAAGGTTGTCTGCTATGAAATCACGAATCCATCCCATGTGAAGAGGAGGTTTTGGATTGCACCATCAACTTTGTCGCAAACTAGAAAAATAACACTTGAAAAGAAAAAAACACTAGCAAGAGGAAGGAAGAGAAGAGGGAAAAAGAAATCCCAATCAATCGCACTAAGCATTATAAAAGATCAAAAAAGATAAACTTACACCTTAAATATCTAGATTCCTAAAATAAAACTTTAAATCAACAACAAAAAGGGCAATTTACCCAATATTTTTTTTCCCAATTTTAGGTGTTTGTACAAACTCAAAAGCGACAAGCATTATGTGCTATAAGTGGCTGACTTTAATCCCAAAACCATGTTCTTTTGCTTTAGAAAATGTATAGCATATTGAAACCATGAAGTATTTCACAAAGTTGTTTTCTCACCTTATTTTAAATCCAACCCTTGGTTTTTCTTATCATTTTAGCTTTCAATACTTCAATAATATAAGTTAGGTCAGTGTATAAAACTGGGGGTACATTGTAGAGGCCTTTAGATCCTGCCAAATCTTAGGTAAATGCTTTAAAACAGTTTTCCTATCTAACTAGCAACTTACACGATCACTGGTAGAGATGAGCAGATGATCAAAGTGGCAAGCAATTTGCCACCACTTTTGACCAACTTCTGTACCAATCATTCTATTCAGGTCCAACTTTAAGTGGTTCTTAAGACTTTAGATTCACAATATTGCCTATTTTACTTACTTATAATTTGATATTTCTATCTTACCAGAGTATTAATCAGAAGCAAATTTTGATTGTGTTTATAGAATAGAACATTTAGATAACAGAATAGATAATACATAAACAAGTAAAGAACATAATAGAACATTGAAACCCTAATTACATCAAAATCCAGAATACTCAAACCCAGAAATTCCATTCCCTACCTCCTTCACCAAAATAGAAAAATCAAAATAAAATAGATCCTTCAAAGAGAAAAACAAAAAAGTGTATACAATTTTTCCAATAAAATTTTCACTCAAAACAAAGAAAAAATTAAAAGAAAATTTGGGAAAACCCTGAAAAAACAGAACATCCAGAGACATATATCAAATACATCTATACATATAATTATGTACAGACATATATCAAGTAAATTTATAGATATGATTATATACAAATTCATATGAAATACATTTATATAAAAACTTTCCTCTCTAAACCCTAAACCAGAACCACAATTAAATCCATCCAACCAACCAAATCCATAACCAACAATGAATCCTAGAGAGAGTGTTTTAATTTTACTGAACAAAGAGAGTGATTTACCTCAATAGAGAGATCTGGAAGAAATTTGTGAGAGAAGCCTGAAGAGAGGTGTGAAGTGCAGAGAGACGAAACGAGTTCGCAGAGATAGAGAGCTTGTAGAGATAGAAGACTGTGCGGCATTATAAACGATTGGGTAACACTGCGTTTTTTTTTTATAAGTAAAACCTGTTCTCTGTGTTTTCAAGTAAGGCAACTATCAGTTTTCAGAACTCCCAAAACAACTTTTTAATGTTCTCTAAAAAGTGATGCTATCAGTTTTCAATTCTCCAAAAACTGTTTTTGAAAAACACTTCCAGGCAGTCCCAATTTGTAGTTTTGGGTTTTTTGTCACTATGAAAACAGATCAGGGCCCATGTTTTTCCATTCTAAACATCTCATAACATCTTGCATTATGACCATGAATTAATTCAAGAATATAATCTTGAGACCATGAATTAATTCAAGAATATAATTATGACCTTATAATGCACTGTTTTCACATGGCCTATTCGATATAAAAAATCTTTTATACCCCTCTGCCATACAAAGAGTTATTTGTCTCCCCATGTTCATCTATTAATACATGATAAATAATGAAATAATATAAACATTAAAACATGACAAATAAGAACAAAGACAAGTATCAATTATATTACCAAATTCAAAAATAAAAAGTCATTACAATTCCAGTCACTAAAGTCATCTATTACATTACCAAATTCAAAATAAAAATAAATTAAACCAATTAAAATAACATTGTAAAGAATCATCTATTACATTACCAAATTAAAAAATATAAGAAATTATAAAATTGTTCACGACCTAAAGGCTGCAGATGAATTAAAATAACATGGTAAAGAGTCACTAAAGAGACTAACAGGTCAGTGGTCTAGCGGTACCAAGCCCCTATTTCTCAAAGAAAGGTCAGGGGTTCGAGCCTCAGTGGAGGCATGTGTGTGTGAGTTCCCAACTAGGATAAAAAAAAAAAAAAAAAAAAAAAAAAAAAAAAAAAAAAGTCATTAAATACGCCTTCCTCATTCCCGTAGGAACTCGAAGAAAGTACTCCATCCATGGTAGATTGTCAAACATTTTTCCAATAGCTTTTTCCTTATATTGATCCTTAATAGCCTCTAAAGCCTCAAAACACTCAAGTGTAATACCCCTACATTTTAAAGGATTTATTTAATTAATTTAATTACTTTTAATTTTATTGAGTTAATTGGGTGTTTTATTTAATTGTCTTGTTTTATTTAAATTATATTTTTAATTAAATTATATTTTGTATTTTACTTGTTGAATTGATATGATATTTTGCTTTGTAAAATGTCATGATTGGGTTGTTTATTTGACTATGTATGTGTTTATGCTTGTGTGATTTAATTGTAAACTATTTGTAATTAATAGATTTAATTTAATTATTTTATTTATTTAAGTTAATTGGATTGGGTTGTAGGGAAGTTGGACTAATGAATGTGATCTTGGGTTTGGACGAAGCTTTGTTGGGTTAATTAATAAGGACCCATGGTTATGAAGATATTTAAATGATTATTTTTGCATAATTATATATATATAGATATCATTAATTAATTAATTAATTAATGATTATTATGGAAGATATATATATATATATATATATTGATATATATGTATATATGATTTAAGCAATTAATGATCATTATGGAATGAAACGTACATAAATATATTATATAATATATATGTGTATATATATATTATTTAATATTATTATTATATTGGGTAGTTTAGTAGTTAGACTAGGAATATAATTAGATTATACATGTGTCTATATATATACCTAATGTGTCTATATATATACCTAATGTAATATTCTTTAAAAGATTTTTCACGTTAAAAAAATAAGAGAGAAATTGTTGAGAAAGAGAGAGTTTGGTTTTGATGGGTTTCGTTTAAGACAACATGTATGTCGAATTGTTTTAATATTTTAAGTGGAACTGTAGCGCCGACCGTGCCCCCAAAACCTAAAATTCAAAATGGAAGCTTCAAAATGTAGAGTTGAAATTTCTGAAGGAACCTCCAACTTTTGGCAACAAAAAGTTTTTGTAATTTTTTTTTATTTTAAAAATGCCGAAATTCAAATTGTGGTTACCAAACAGGTTTTTAGTTGTAGTTTTTATATTTTCAAAATGGCAACTGAAAACGGAAGTGTAAACCTTTTCAATACTTTTATTTGCTATCATTTTAAAATTGAATTTACAGTTTAATTATTCATTTTATGCATCAGTTCAAAATCTACAACAAAGTTATTTAACATAAAAATAAAAAAATAAAAAAAATCTAATATGTGTGATTAGTGAACTTTTGAAGAATAACTTTATAGCTCCGGGTCACAAACTCACGCAAATAATACTTTCAAAATTAATCATGCTTCAAGAGTAAACTCTTTTATTATTATTACTTCGTATTTTTTTCCCTTCCATTTTAATTTTGTAGCCATAGTTGTAATTTATATTATTTATAAAAAAACCAGAAAAGTTCATTCAACAAGTTTGTCTAGCTCAATTGGTAGTCAACAAGCCCGTCTAGCTCAGTTGGTAGAGCGCAAGGCTCTTAACCTTGTGGTCGTGGGTTCGAGCCCCACGGTGGGCGATATCTATAACTTTTTGTATTTTTTTTCCAATGGCATTATGGGCCTAAACCCTAATATTTTAGCCTGTCAGGGCCTCATAAGAGTTTGTTTGGGCTTGAAATTTGGTATTCATTGGGCAGGTTATTGGGCTCAAGGACCTTTTGAATGTAAAATGAAAGAAAAAAGAGGTCCTACCGGGAGTCGAACCCAGGTCGCTGGATTCAAAGTCCAGAGTGCTAACCACTACACCATAGAACCACTTTTGTTTAGATATTCGAGTAAAAGTTTTAAATAGGAAAAAAACATGCGAACATCTAACTCCATTTTTTCAAAAATGTAATTCATACTTTCTTAAGAGTTGTTTTTTTTTCCCCAAGGCCATTGTAAGTACAAATACTTCTTTGAATTTGCTTCTTTATACTTTTTATTAGGTGGGTGGGATTGTAAAGAACTTTAAAACGCCTCTTTACTTATGTTCTTAGTTTTAAACCCGTCATCTCTGAATAACAATGCAGCAATTTTTTAATTATATCAAGACTCACCATTTATGGTTGAGCAAAAAATAATATGTGAAAGCCACACTATATGATAGTTGACTAGCGCTCTCAATTGTCACAATCCAGTGACTTAGAAATAAATTGGCAAGTGGATTGAATTTTATCGGTTAAGTGCAAAAAACACCCATAAAATATGTTTACGGTGCATATCACATCCATCACGTGCAAAAAATATCTCTAAAGTTTCAATTTGGTGTAAATAGGTCCCTCTGACAAATTTAAACTCTAACTTAACTAAATTACCCTTACTAAACCATTTTATAAAATATATAAAAATAAATAATTTTGTAAAATGACCGAAAATGACATTTATTGGAGAATGTCTATTTCGTGCAAAAAAACACTCTTAAAGTTTCAATCTGGTGCAAATAGGTCCCTCTGACAAATTTAAACCCTAAGTTGACTAAATTACCCATAGTGAACCATTTTTTTAAATATATAAAAATAAATAATTTTATAAAATGACTGAAAATGATATTATTGGAGGACATCGGTGGTGGACAAGTAAAAATAAAAATAAAAAATAAAAAAAACAAAAATAAAGTGCAAACTAAAGAAAATAAAATTTTGTCAAACTCCGAAAACCAGTGCACACTGAATCACTGATATTGGAATTTATTTTATTATTTCATTTTTTTTAATTTTTTATTATTATTATTTTTTTAATAGTGTTGGTACTTGGTATGAAAAAAATAAAGTAAATAATTTAATTTAATTTAATTTATTTTTTCTTTCGAAAAGAGTAAACTGAAATTTCAAAAAAAAATTAAATCCTTATTCTACAAATTCTCAAAGTTTTTTTAAAAAAATGTTTAGAGATATATATATATATATAGAGAAAAAAGTTTCTAATATATATATAAGGTAATGTGCACGTAACACCCCTATACTATCAGATTAGTAGCATATATACCCATTGGGTATTTTCAGAAGAATAAAATGGCAAAACAGGTATTACAACACTAATTTATGTCAAATGGAGTATTTTTGCACAATATAAAAAATTAAAAGTATTTTTTTTGCACATTTTTTCAAATGGAGGGTAAAAGTATTAGACGGGGTATACTTTATGAGTGTTTTTTTGCACTTGTCCAAATATAATCCAAATTTGAAAATTCATTAGTTAATCAGATTGAACATTAATTATGATCAATCCATTCTAATATGATTTGATATATATATATTTATATATATATATATATGTATGTATGTATATATATAATATGTTACCCTTATTGTCACCGTATAGAATGGAAATCTAGTGAGGAGGTGGATATTAATGATATAATGGAGACACTTCAAAACAAGACGGTTATTTCAAGTGAATAATTTTCAGTATTTAGGGTCATTAATACAAAAGGGATGGATATATATATATATATAGATGGTGATATAATTAGTAGAATTGGCGCAGGATGGGTAAAATGGAGGCAAGTGAGTGGTGTTTTGTATGATAAATGAGTATCATTTAAACCAGAAACTAAATTTTATAGAACAGTTGTTAGGCTCACGGAGCAGAATTGTGGAGGTTAAGATGGATGTTAGGGGAGGACTAGAATTGATAAGCTAACAAACTAAAATGGGAGTGAGAAATTAAGCATGACACCCATATATATATATATATATAATCATACCACTTAAATTTACTCTCTAATCTTATTCCTAGTAGGTGTCATGTTTAATTTTTCACTCACATTTTCTAGTCCCTCCTTATATATATATATATATATATATAGATGCACCAATGAGAAACGAAATGTTAATTTGCACAGAAAATAGGAGGCGGGTACCAAAATTAACGAGTAATAAAATCATTAGAATGGCTTTAAAAATTAAATGTAGAGGATATATAGACTTATACTAAAAAAGAATGAAAAAAAAAAAAAAAATTCATGTGGTTGACCTCATTCACATGGAATTAAGACTATGATGATATTATTATAATTTTCTCTACTTCTTTTTTCTCTTTATTGTTTCTTACCCTTTATTATTTCTCCATAATTCATATTTCTTTTTCACAATCTCTTTTATTGTAATCATTGTTTTTCTTTTTCTACATGCATTGAATTTTTTAACAAAAAATTCACATACAGAGTTCAGTTATTGAACCATATAATAACAAAATCAGATATAAATTCGTAAAAGAATGATTTGTCGAGTAATTAGATCGGATCATATCAAAAAATAATCTTGTTAAATTCGAACCGAATTGTTAAAAATGACTTTTAAAAGTATAATTGCTCCGTCTAAAGTAGAAAACTAAGT